AAGAAAATTTAATCTGTAAAATCATTATTCATCTCTCTAGATGAAAACATGCACAACTCTGAAAAAAAATTACGCTTAAGTTTCTATAAAATCTTTTTCTACCCTTGTGTAGAGGTCTTCTTATTTTTCCTTACAAGATTTTCTTTTTATTAAGAAATGTGAAATGAAATTTTATTAAAAATAAAGGTTCACGCTCTAGCTAAGTTATAGACATTATTATTGTTGGGTTATTCAAAGCCTATATTTTAAGTATTTTGTAATTTTCTAATTGTTTTAAGTTTTGTATTAAATATTTCTTGTTTTGGGTTTAAGGAGAAATCTATAGTAAGAGTGAAAATTTTAGTTATTTTTGAGAAAGTTAATGATACAAAATTGATAAAATTAGTTTGTTATGATATTTTATTTGTTATAATAGATGCATCTTACGAGTATGATTATAATCACTAAATCTATGTGTGAATATAACAATATTGCACCAGTATTATAATTAAACAAGTATTCATGCAATATTTTTCACAATGGTTCAAGTTATTCTTGTATTGTTTTGAGTATTCTTCGAGATCATTTTAGACTAATGAGTAATGTGATTCTCAATGGAAAGCAAAAACTAAAAAAATACAACATATGCAATGAATACAATTGAATATGCTTTAAAATTTAAGTTAACGTGAATCATTAATTATCAAGAGGGATTAAATGTTGATAAAAATATTGAGAATGAGACTTCAATGATTTATATGTATTATGTATATAATGAAGTATATAATATTATTTTGGTGAAATTAACCTGAATCACTAATTATCAAGAGGGATTAAATGTTGATACCAAATATTGATAAAAAAAGTTCAACAATTTATATGAATATGTATATAATTAAGTATATAAAATTATCTTGATTGTATCAAATAAAGATGTTAACAATCCCTTGGTTTTCTTTGATTGAGTTGAATGTTTTAATTTTTTCACTATTGATATTGATACCGATAAATTTTTAATCATATTTTTAATCGTGAATGTGCATATTTTCTGAAAAGCAAACGAGAAATATCCAAATCAAAACTTAATAAGATATTAACTAATATTTCAACAATTTACACTGTTTTGAGATATAAGATTTGTCATCGTTCCATAATATATGAATTGTTATGGAAAAACAAGTCCGATTCCATTAGAATTTGCGGATATGAGTGAATCTTGTGGTCGTCTCCTTCCTCTTATCTTTGCGTTCGGCGTCGTTGAAGAGATGTTAAATATATAAAGTAGATTTCAAACATCTAACTATGACCACAACCCAATAAAAATCTATATAGAGGTTATTTTGCTATCAATCTAACAAATAAAATCATGAAAAACTAAACAAATATCATTTTTATCCAATTCTCCTTAATATAACGTTTTTGAATTAAAAAGTTATAACAACTGCAATTAGTACAATTAAACATTCAAAAAGTGAAGTTACCGTTGACTAATCGGTATCCTGATGGGTCAAATGTTGGTATCGAACATAAATAAATTGTATTAGAAGAGACTTCAATATAATATACATCAATCAATTAGAACTAACTTGTTTCTTCACTTGCACATTTGAATGAAATATCAATATTTTTCTTTGGATCACGATGATGAATGAGGCTAAGTTTATAACTATTTGTGTTTTGATTATGCAAATATCAATCTAATATTTATTATCTTATCAATTTGATTTTTAATATTCAAAACAATATTAGTTTTGAAGTTGATTCTAACAATGTCAATATTAATAATAGAAAAAAAAAAATCTAAACATTCAATTACACCCAAAAAACCAAGGAATTATCATCTGACATCACCAAGGTAATATTTTACACTTAATTATATATATTAATTTACATATATATTCTTTATAAGATCCGACCACATCTATAAAAATTGAAAATTAACCAAATATATAAAATTGTGATATGGTTTATTAATATTATATATTATAAAATATAAAATGAAAATTTTTAAACCTTGAGTGTGCTTCTCGAGTAATGAATGGAACCCGAAAGAAGAACTCAACGTTGGCCATCAATGGTGATGACTCGACCGTCATGTGAAACTATGGTGGTATAAATACAAGAAAATAGAAAGAATAATAGTAGAATATTTTTTTAGAGAAGCCATTTTCTTAGTGTGAAAGATATTATATATGTGAGAGATCATCCATGTGACTCGTGATGGATATTTATAGTAAATTATTGTGATTTTTTTATTTTGAAAAAAAAACAAATCTTTTGGATAGAATTGTATCTTGTTAAAATAAAATCTTACTTGCACGAACTACTTGATTTTTTTGTTTGATTTATTTATATCCGGAGATTTCTTGTCATATATATTCGTTTATTTGTTATTACGGCGATTTAACTATTTATTAGATTAAAAATACTATATCATTTATCTATCGTTATCGTCTACAAATAAAATAATCCTAAATAATTATTAGATTAACAATAATAAAATTAATTGAAAAATTTATAAAAATTGAAATTCAACATATTAGTGCAAAACAGATAATAGTTCATTCTTGTATAATTATATATATTTGTAGAGTTTTTAAGGTTTTATCTATCATGTTATATATTTGTTTTTAGTTAATTTTATTTTTATTATTTTTCTCAATTGTATATTTTTATATTATTTAATAGTTAATTTGTTTTCGTATTTTCTTGACATCGCAAAAAATCCTAACGAAGTTTTGGTTGTTAGATATGATGTCAACCAATATTTAGTTAATATACTGTTTAGGTTGATTCTCTACTTAAAAAATTAAATTTATATCTATTATATCAAATTCTAATTTGTATATTGTATTTTCACATTATTAATTAATTTAAATTCTAACTTTTTAATAATTTTATTTATAAAATATATATTATTCGGTGACATAAAATGGTATGTTAAAGAGTTTTCTATTATGAGATATATATATTCACATATTTGATATTACCGTTTGATCCCTCTAGATGACGAGTGGTTAACATTAACTCCAATTTTGTAATATATTCATTGTTGCAATTGTGTTTTTGCTTTTCAACATAATTTTCTATTAGAACACTATAAACAATAAAATAAACTTAGGTATGATTATTTTTATTATGAAATGATTGTTGTTTTTTTTTTTATAAATTCATTAGATGTATCTATTATTATAATCACAATACGATATGCACTAATTTTATCAATCTTGTTTCATTGACTTACTCTAAAATATCAAACATTTTCATTTCAAATTTGGATTCTTTTAAGATCCAAAAAAACAAATATTTGAAGCAAAACTCAAACCAATTAAAAAATTAAAAATATTTAAACTATTTATTTCAATTATGTGTATAAAATGTTTGGTTGATCTTTTAAAACAATGTCCGATTCCATATAACAAATTCAAATGCAATTGAACTCATAGATCTTCAATTTGTCTTCATTTTTATGTTGTATAGCATTAAAGAAATTTTGAATTGATAATGTTATAACTTACAAAAACTTTAATTTTTCACCGATATATAAAAATTCTCGATATTTATAATTATATTTTATTATTTTTTTGTATTATTTCATTTTAGATTATTTTAAAAATTTTAATTTAATTCTTATCATTCATTTTGGATTAATCGTTTAATATCTTCTCATTTAATTCTAAGTTAATATAAATTTAATAAAAAATGATATGAATTATTTGTTTAATGGAAAAAAAATATATTTTTATTATTCTATGATAAATATTTTTCATAGCCAATCAAAATTTAAAACATTTAGGTTCACCAAATCTCTTTAAATCTCTTTATTAATATTTATAGATTTGTCTTTTCATCTATATTTATAACTGTATAAAAGCTTGACATATATTAATTTTAAAGAACACAATTTTGTTGTGAGGAGATTTATTCTTTAAGTTATTTGAGAACAATAGAAATCTAGATCTAAACTTTCCTTTAGAATCATATTAAACCTCTAATACTACCAAATTGGTAGGAGTTCCTATAAATTATGGACATAAATTTATAGTGAAAGTCAACAATAACCTTTGTAAAACTGAATAGTATTTCTGATTTATAGTGGGTTAGAACGTTTTTTTTTTTGGAAAAGTCCGAACCTATATTTCTATCAGTAATTTTGTTGTAATCTAGCACTTTCTTTACGAACTTGGACATAGATTTCGATTACAAGTTTGATTAGGTGTTGGTTCTATAGTTTAGTTACAAAATTTCAACCATGGATTTCATTTCATATATTGTCTCTCTGTCTTGAAAATTTTTGTTTATTTGTTGTGCCGTGTGATAAATTTTGTGGGGTTCATGTCAGTTATAACTAAAATAATGTCTCTCAGTAAATAAGCAATCTATACAAGTTCACAAGTTATTTGAACTCATCATCAATTTTGGAGATAACAACATACCTTTGTTTTTTTTATAAACCATAGAAGCTATCGAAAATCAGGATATAATATATTCAATTCCTATTTGTGTAACCATCGAGTTTAAGACAGTCCAATCACACTAAAATGACATACCGAGTTACATGAGTTGAATAAAAGAGAAAATCACCCAAATAACCCATTTGGGTCACATCTATTTCAGTGTACACCACCGAAAAAAAAAATTTCAATTTTAACCCACTTTTCGGTTGGAAAAGTCCGAAATACCCTTTTCGTTTTATTTTTTGCGACCTTATTACGACTAACATATAACTGATATATAACTAAAATAAGACAGATAATTTTTTTGTCACCTCTTTTAGAATCAATTGTAACTATATTTAGACTTAATTACGAAGTCGTAATAACGAAGTTGTTTTCGAACGGATAAATATCGTAATTCATTAAGGGTAATTTCGTCTTTTCACAGGAAAAAAAATGTGTTATGTTTTCGGTAGTGTACAGGTGAAATAGATGCGACCCAAGTGAGTTATTTGGGTAAAAAACCCTGAATAAAAGGCAGCACTAATTTAGGATTTTCCAAATTCTTTTTTTTTTTCTGTGGCATTACACAATACACAACATGGCTTTTATATTCCCAAAACTTTCTCCCTCCCCACATTGCCCAACGAGAGAAATAACCCAAAAAGAAAGCAAGTGTTTTTGCTTTGTCACTCTTTTCTCATACAGTGACCCTCTCTTTTTTCCTACCCTATAAGCCATAAATATGTCTGTGAAGTGGCTTTGTATCCAAACTCTTGACAACTTTCATCCATGGTTTCTCTACTACCAAGACAGAATTTTTGGAAAGGTGCCCAACGAATAGAATTGGGTGATTGGAGGGTTTGACATCAAAGTTCTGTTTCCACTTGCAGCTTAATAATTGATCATCCTCTATCGGACGTTTTCGGGTTCCATTCCCGAAATTCAGACCGCCATTCACGAGCTTACCTTCTACCCTTTTAGGAAGATCTCCGTTTTGTAAACTGGTCGTGTCTTCGAGTTCCGCAGTCATATCAAATTCAATGGAACATGTCGCCCTGTCATGCATGCAAAAGTTGCGATGTAAAGATATGGGCGTATGATTGTCTCAGTCTCAACTCTCAAGCATACATATGGAACGACATAAACTGTATGTACTCAAAACACTGGATGCCAGATATGACAATACCAAAATATATAGAACAACACTGCTGATGTTCAAGTCCCATTCTAAAACTACTCTGCCCAGGTATCTTCACTTAAACAAACTATCTAAAATGCATCATCAGGCAGCAAACTTGCAAGAAACTGATGGAAAAATCAAGCTGCTGTTGCCAATGACATCAACATTATTGATACCCACTTTCTGTTTTTCATGGGATGGGATCACTTGCTTCTCTTTACGGGTTTCTCTCCGATCCTCATGCACTGAGCATAGCTCAATCAATTTTGAATTTCGTAATATTCAATGCTCTAAACACATAGATTTCTTCTAAAGGTATTTGGTTCCTGTGCTTCAGGTGTATTCACCAACTAATAGACGTTCTGAGCTCATTCCACATGTACCATATCTCTAACGCTAAACATGCATAGTACTAGCAGGTCAGAAGTACTGCTTAGTACCCTCTATCCAGCTTAAAGTTCTAGATGCGTCTAAGACATTAGCCAAAAATAGAAGTAGGAAGCAGTACCTGGAACTGTAAATGATTACGGATGATGAACTTGCTGATGGCAAGAACGAGAGCCCAATGACCTCACCAGGAAACTCTCTGTACCTCTCTGGCAGAACATCTCTGAGTAATGACCAGTGTGCCACCTGTCTTGCCTCCACATCTAATAGAAATAACTGGTTCGAAGTGGTTGACATCACAAGCACATTGCTATTTCGAGGATGGAAACCAGCAGCTGCAACAGATGTATTGTCCAATCTTGATATGAACCAGTGTTGCCTGTCTCATAGAGAAAAAAATACAAATTTAAGACTCAATAAGAAATATAACGAATAATGAAAACACATGCAGCCGAATGGAATGGAAGCCCTGCTATCAAACATCACCAGGTATGGTTCTGTTTGGATTTCACTTCATAAGAAGTACCACAAAAATGCTCACCTCTGCGTCTCAAGGTTGAATACATAGATATCCCCGAAGCAGTTGACGGCAGCTAACCATTGACCATCTGAACTGGTATACATTTTTGTTACTGGGGGTTCTCTAGGCTGAGAATCACCTTCATGCTCCTTGCCGCGTGGCATAAAAGTGTGTACCACTTCCATGCTACCAACATCAACAATCTATAAAAAATATTACGATGTTATATATAGAGTCATACACATACAACTAACTCAGACTATGAGAATAATGAAATAACTTTGACACTCACATATATCCTTTTATCCTGCCCAGCTATTATTAACTGTGAGCAGTCAGAACTGAATACCATGGAATGAGCAAATGGAAGTTTGGGAAGTCGCCTTTTACTGACACTCCATGGATTCTTTGCAAATTCATTTCTCTTCAATTCAAATAGATTGGGGCTGATTTGGTCAGAATAAGCAAACAGTGATCCGCAGTTAGATATGGCACTGCAGATGATCCGAGCATCTTTACTCTTTACTTGAATCAATGGTTTTGTAGAGGTAGCATCACAACTTATGTGAACACGCAGAATATCTAATGAGCATACACCTTGAACCAGAAGAAGAGAAGTCTGTTTGAAGACTGTATTGTGCACCATTTGAATGGGTACTCTCTGAGGGACGGGACATATATCATGTGGAGAGAATTTCGTAAACTCCAGAACCGAATAGGCAAAGAGCTTTGTGTCATCACCAGCAGAAACGAGCACAGGTACCCCTGAAAGAGCCCATTTATGGTAGGTTAAGTCATCCGGCTTCTCCTTCCTGCGCTTTTTACGATTTGCTCTTTTTGCATTTCTATTTAGAAATGTTTCATCTTGAATGGAATCTGCAGAAAAAACGGCAGCATTTAGATGCATGCAAATATTGCAACCTTGTCCATCCAAAATATGATCTTAATAGCAAACCGTATTGACAAAGCCATAACTCGGAGATGACATTCTGACCTTCCCGACTAATAGGCTCAGCTACAGTTAACGCCCTGATGTCATGTGTATGAGGTCTGACATAACCAATATAATCCCACTTCTGATAGACAGCAGATGGAGACTTCATATCTTTTGAACCACCTGTATTGCCAGAGAGAGTATACAGAATAACCTAGAAAGAAAGTGAAACAGAATTAGAGTCAACACAGTTACAACCAAAACCCCATACATCTGAACACAAGTATAAGCAGGCAACTTTCTTTCTTCATATGTGCTAAAACTATAAGATTAGGCAAAAGAATTGACTCTTTCTTTTAATTATAAATCTCAAATCATGTAAAAAAAGGCTATTCTGTGTTTTTACATCAATCTAAAAAACGGGATGTACATGAGAAACAAACAAGAAAGATAGGTCTTCACAGATACCTCTATTATCAAATACCACAGCGAAGCTTATCATAGAGGATCAGTTAGATCTACTGAGTAACATGATAAGCCCAACATAACATTCCTGTAAATTAGTAGGTACTATTCACCTTTCCATCGGCGCCAGCTGAAAAAACTCTGTTATGACTAGGACCTGCCGCAAGAGCATTAACATCACCTTTGTGGTTAGTATGTGCTTGCAAAAGGGTTCCATGGTGGCTGTCCCAAAATTGAACATTTCCTGAACTATCTCCACTGACAAGAACTCCACACCTTAAAAAAAGCATATCGCTCCTCAGCAAGAAACGACATAATTAAAGATTACAGGTGAAGATGATCGCATGTACCTCAGTGAAAGAAGCGACCAAACACAGAGTTCAGACCCACTTCCCAGTCCTCCAAGGCCAACTGTTATTCTATATACCTCATGACAGAGGTTGGCATCCCAGCATCTTATCATCCTACAAGTGGTTGGGAAGCAACAAATTATTACTAGCTGAAATCAATTGGCATTAGACTGTTGACTTTCCAAACAAATAAGCATCAAGCTTGTTTATGAACTAAAAGTAAACTCACCCATCACTACTACCCGAAAAAATCCTCTGAGCATCTGGACTCCATGTCACACTTAAAGAACGCCCTAGGAAGATAATGTTCCACAAACCTCTAAGAAGAAGCCAACAAGAACAAAAGGAGAAAAAAATGAGGATAAGAGGGGTAAAGATGTCTCACCACTGACCCTAGGCAATGATCTATAGCACGTTAACTTGTTTAAGCCAGAGATTCGATATATTCTCACGCAGCCATCATCACAGGCAGCTGCAACTCGAATATACTCATCCTCTGATTTCTTATGAATCGCACGCAAATCAGAATCATCTCCACTCTCACTTCCTTCGTCATCATCTGTGTTTTCGCTCAAGTATCCATTTTGAATCTGCCAAGCGTTTTTACCTTCTGCATCAATGGAAGGTTCCTTAGTGGGAGCCACAGCCATTTGCCAGATTGAGACTCCAATAGACTCTAGCACAATCTGCGTATAAACATAGAAGAAAAAAGAGATATCTAAATAACACATAGCCTAAGCAATCGAATTTGAAGAAAACATATGTAGAAATTTAGAATAATTAATCTGACATAAATGCAAGAGTAAAACAAAACAAATAAGGGAATGCTATTTCATCTTTTGCAGCGAACACCCCGTTAATTATGAAAGCAAGAAACCTAATTTAGTAACACTCACCTGCTTCGAATCGAAAAGATCCCACTCTGAGATCGTTCCATCAAGGCTCGACGAAATCAGCCG